TTGTTGCTGTTGTTGTTGTTTTGGGGTTTTGGGTTTTTTTTAGCAGGCTTTGTCTTGTGTGTAGAATCTGACACCACTCTTTTTGGTCTTTTTTGCTTTCCAACTTATTTGGCCATTCTACGGTAGCACCACATCTCAAACGCATTTATTTTGTTTTCTTCTTTCCCTGTCAAATCCAGGTCTCTGCGCCATAGAGGAATATGGGGAAGATGTAGCCTCCCAGCAGTTTCTTTCTTAAAGTGAGAGATAGTTGCCTGGATTTAAATAGTTTGTTCATTTGGCTGAATCTTGATTTTGCAGCTGTTGTTCTTATGTTTATTTCTTTTTCACGTCTTCCATCATCTGTGATTGTTGCCCCTCGATACTTGAACTGGTGCACTTGTTCGATTCTCTCCCGATCTATGGTTATGTCTGTTGTTTTTCCAGAAGATTTTGATAAGACCACTGTTTTTGTTGTCTTGGTGTTCATGTTGAGGCCTGCCTTGCTGCTATCATGTTTACTAGTTTCACAATTTTAGACAGATAATTCGTTTGTGTTTGCAAGCAGAACTGTATCATCTCTGTATCTCAGATTATTGATGTTGTGGGCCCCAATAGGGACTCCTCGCAGGTTTTGAGATTTTCTAAAAATAAACGCTTTATGAAGTTAAAAAGCTAGGGAGAGAGAATACAACATTGTCCCACTATACTATGGATTTGAATATTATATTCTGATATTTCATTGCACACTTTAATAGCTGCCTTTAGCTGTCAGTAAAGATTTCCAATTATTTTTACATAGCTTTGCCATCAATACTATCTTCTCCTAACACTCAATCAACCTGATGTGATGGATTCTGTCAAAAGCTTTTGAGTAGTCAATAAAGCACGCAAAGAGGTATTTTTGGACTTGCTGCATATTTTTTCTGTGCTATTGTGTTCACGTAGAAGATTCCTTCTCTGGAGTCACTTCCAGACCTAAAGCCGTACTGTTTTTCTCCAATGTATTTGTCAATATTGCCCTTGATTCTCCCCAAAATGACTTTCAAAAATATGTTCATGATATGTGGCATTAGACTGATAGCCCTGAAGGCCTCACATTTTGTTGCTTTTTTGGTGGGGGGGGGGAGGATGACAATATAAAAACCAATTGGAGTAGCTCTTCTGGTATCTATGTCCTGAGTCATAGATATCGTTGAAAAGTTCTGTCATAGTGTCAATGCCAAACTGATCTAATATATTCAATATTTCTGAGTTTATGCCATCTTCACCAGGGTGGGGGGGGGGTCCTTCTGGGGTGTTTCTAATTGCGTGCTCTACCTCTGATTTTAGAATGTTTGGCCCATTGTTGTTGCTTGGTTGTAGTAGGAGTGGTCTTTTATCCTCAAATAACTTACATATATACTTGCCATCCTCCTATGACTTTTTTTTTTCAAATAACATTTTCTACACCTTTTGATAAACGTTTTTTCGGTAAAAACCCGCAGACAAATGTGTTTCTAAATGGACATAAAAGTGTTGAGCCAAGAAAATAGAATGGACAGAAATTGCCAAAGTGGTGAATAGATGCTAATTTCTTCGATTTCACTATTTTGATGAGCGGCTGATTTCACCACGATGCCTCACATATAACTTTATTGACATCAAACTTGGGATTATTGGGAAGGCTATCCACTTCGTTAAGAAAATGGTGTCAGAGGAAGACAAAGACGGTGAGTTCCAG